GAGTGAGCAGATCTCTCACATAGCCAACGACACTGAGGTGTCACGATCGCTGTTATAGTGAGGAAGGCCACTCTGCTCTCCAATGTGTCCTCAGTGTACACTCCAAAGGCGTGACAGAGTAACACTGCTACCGATGATAACGGTTTTAGTATCTGCATGAAGAACTCCATCTAACGCACGTGTTCAAGTACGTCAACTCACCACGAACTGAATGCAACCGGCTCGGAGTAGCCATAGGAGTCTCTCGTCAGTCGGAAGAGGCTTTGGTATGAACCACCGTATAGGCCACAGCCACTCCACACGATTACCGTGGTCGAAATGCAGTAGCAGTCGACGTGAACCACCTATGAATGGGCCTGTGGAGTGACGATCGGTATAATACTCACCCAAGTAGTTGACATTGAGGACCATGAACATGTACAGAGCATACGCTTCATATGCATCCCTCACCAGTGCGAGGGCATATCTGAGAAGCTCCAATAGCGAGCAAAGAGTTACTCTGAGGCCTCCACCTCTTGCTAGGATGCAGCACACTAGCCCAAGCACAAAGGCAGTAGATAGGGACCAAGAGTATAATCCGCGCTATGTAAACCTGATCATGATGATGGTGGCACCGATCATGAACAATGTGAAATCGTCAAGATCTCACCTGGTACTCTGGTGCTACCCATCTTCTTGCATGCTGGCATACATGTGATAGCGCCACCACCAAGCAAATGGCCGTACTCAGAGAGGCCACCGTTACAGCACTTATTGTAGGCAAGTGCGAGAGTATCGATGCCGAATTCGAGTGTTGCATCTTCAGACTGTGTTGCCGCCCAGTGGGAGCATTCAGGAAGCAAAGGGGCCTCGATAGGACACGTGAATTGGATGCGTTGCTCACAGCCACAATAAGCTCTAACGGCAATAGGGTGAACGAAACAGCGATTTGATGCCGAGACCCTCTACAAGTAGTAAAGGAGCATCACACATCGCAATAGTGAGAGTCAGCGACTGAATCATCGTAGTCGAGCTCAGCCATGAATCTCGAGAACTCCTCCTCTCCAAGTGCGGTTCGGAGTGCAGCACGTCGACGGGACTCGTTGGTAGCGGGCTGGAAGCTGTATTCATCATTTGGTACTACTCGCCGCGATCGGCTTGTGGCACTGAACTGAAATGGCTGAGGCACCGTCAGTGTTGGAAGCCACTCCGTGGGCTGCGACTGGGTCCGCATCGTTGATGCTTCTCGCTTCTGTCTATCCCTACTGCGGGCTCTGACGAGAATCATAAGCACAATGAGCAGCATCTCCTTACTCTACTGCCATCCGACGGTTCGCCATGAACCTGTCGTAGCCGCTGATGAGGATAGGCCCCGGTGGTATAGCAGAGCACGAGCTCATCGTTGAGGTGCCTTCGAGCAGCAGTTCGGCAATGGTTATTGCTCGAGGGAGCCTGCCTGACTTTGCATGTTATCGTTTCTCCGTATGCTGGGCTCCCCAGTATCGGCGGCTCTCCTCGGAGTAAAGGTGCACTCCTTCAGTTCATCCGATTCTTGTCTCCGTCGCAACTCCTCAACTCTGTGCCTCCGTCGCTGCTGCTCCCTCGTGATATCACCTGCATCGATAGAAACCACCCTATGTATCATCCCGCCTTCCACCCCCTACTCATGAGCCGAGATGGCTCGGCGAAGTTGTAATGGCTCTTCACATGACCATATGAGTTGCTCGGATGCTCTCGAGTCGCCCCTGGAGGCTGTTGCTCCCTACGAACGATGCACGCTTCAGAGGCCCTAGCGTCAGATATAGGTTAACTGTTCTTTCTCTGTCTTCTCCCGTTCGTTCCTGATTCTGCTAGCATCTTCATATAGTCGCTCATGAATCTCTCTATCGTCCTCATTGCCCTTGATAGCGATCAGCTCACGCGACTTGGAGTTCAACTCCGGCCGGAATGTGCATTCAGGAGGACCTCTAGCCCGTAACCACTCTTGCCGTTTCCTGCAACAATGACCCCTCCGGCAGCGCTGCCTCGTCACCCAGTGCTGCTCACTGTCGTCTCCTAGCATCAGTGCACTCGATCCTGTGAGCCCGACTCCGTGGGGATTCACCTAACTAGGCCTAAAGCACCTCCCACACGACGGCGTGCTATGTACATGCCTGATGTTAGTGCTTCTGACACAGGATTGACCGACGGCTTGAACGTGCATTCAGCATCAAGCACTGCTCGCTCTCTCATCTCTGCCCGAGCCAGTCTAGCCTCAGCCGACTGTTCTAAGGAGTTCAACATCAGCCTCTTGTAAGATCCGCTCTGAGAGTCCCACCTTGACGCTCCATAAAGCGCCGAATTCTCCGGCTCCTCTCCCCATTCGTCAGTGGCACTGCATCGTCGGCCATCTCCAGCAGCTTGTCTTCCGAAGAAACCCCCTCATGTACACGTAGAAGCCTTTCTTCCACCGGCATGTTAGAGAGGGCATCTACAGTACCACCAGAGGTATTGCTAGCCGTAAGAGCTTACGCCTTAGGCGTATGTGTTTGAGACTTATGATAATCAAAGCGCCTATAGTTTTACACTGTAATTGTACTCTTGTAGTAACAGGTTACTCAATCAGGCGTGCGAAAGAAGACACCATAACTTCAAAGGCGTTGGGTTTACAAGTCTTTGTCTACCACACAAGCTGTCGTATCGCTATCGCGAGCCGACAACGCTCACCATGCACTCTTCTCCTCTCCAGTATCTTCAGACTCTGAGGATTGAGTTTAGGAGTGAAAGTAGTGTCCTTGCTGGCCTCAGCTTCTGCCTCTCTACGTCTCAGCTGCAGTCTATCGTGCCGTAACTGCTGCACTGCCCGATACCTGAAGTAATTTCAATGACTTTGAGTCTAACCAGTTCACTGAATCTCAATGGACTTGCCGAATTCACGTCAGTGAAGCCTTGAAAAGACGAATATTTGTGTTATGGGCATTTAAGTGCTTACCTTTGCTCCATCGGAGCTCTCTTTTCAAAATGAGGGTCGGTTCCCGAAGATCGCACTTCAGGCCTACTCGACCACCCTACCAGTGTAGATGCAGCAGTAGGGACTAACCTGAACGTGTATCCTTGGAGTTCCATGGACTTCTTCGTTTCTAGAGCCCTCTCTCTTTGGGCATCACGTCGTTGGGCCTCAGAGTGTAGCCGCTCAGCGAGTTGTCCCGCGGTCGCTGAGAAGAAGAAGTGCGGGAGTCAAGGATGGGCCGAGGTGGGAGCCTCCAACGTACTGGGCCTCTTGCCCTCGACTATCTTCCGGCTGCGCACACTTATCTTAGGCGTAAAACTGCATTTCTCTGCGGACCGTTCTCGCTCTTCCTTCTCAGCTCGACGACGCTGTTGCTCCTGATGAGCTCGCCGGGGTCAGGATACAAATAATGGGTACGACGAATAGTATGAATCCAGACTGGATTGCCGAGGGCCCTGCAGCGCCATGCATTCCCTCCCTACCCTTGCATAAGTTCGTAACCACAGGTCAACCTTCCCGTTGAACTCAGTGGCACCGATAGTCTTCTTTTGCCTATAGTAAACAGATGATGGAGTCCTACTACATCACCCAGCTGAGCCGAACACAATGCCAGACTCGTATGGCCGGACACAGCGCCATTCGCCTACTTATCTCTGGTCGATGAGCTTAGTCGTTGCCGCGGCGCTCGTTCAAGCATAGCCGGGCTTCGAACTACTGTTCGGCCTGGGTCTGGTTTTGGACACTCTTCACCCAGGCTCCTACTATTCATGCCCTGATCGGTTATGAACAGCTCCGCATGAGACCACAATAATGACCTCTGGTCTTGCCGCCGTTCGTCGATCCCTCTCGTCTATTAGTTGCTGCATAGCATCATTGTGGTCTTCATTTGCGCACATTCTCTCGTTCGGAGGTCGCGAGGGCCATCTAGTATCGCGCTCGGCTAGAAGCTGTTGCAGGGCCTGAGCAGTGTCGCGGCTGACGTTTGCACATACAGTCCAGCCCTGCGAGCCGGGTTCAGAACTATGTCTCCGGGAGACAGTGGCTGGCGTTATTTCAACGACGTTGTGCAGGAGTCACCCACACTGCAGCCTGGCGAGATTCCTTCCTCTGTGATACTTCTCCACACAGGGGACACATCGAGACTGTCAAACCTTATCTGAGAATCGCCACCAAAACCGTCGTAATTGATGAGATCGTCGTGGGAATGAGGGATCGTTGTATCAACCATTGCTATCCATAGCATTACTAGCAAGCTCGAAATGCGGGATAGTATTCACCCTCAGAATGTGGAGCACGGGGTGTCAAATTTTCGATCATCCGCTAGGTCCAACATTATAATTTGGGTAAAGAGACACCATGGGCCTCACCGTGCCTTCAGAGGAAAGCCTCGACTCTCGCGTCTGCAGGAATCTCTCACTGTCTGCTATCGATGCCTCGATCTCATCGATTGTGGTACGCATATACAACGATCGACCACAAGCTGATGGAAGCTCGTTATCAAACATATTACTCCGGGGATATGGTCTGAATGCCAGAGTGCTCAGAGCTCTCGCATAAGCGTTATCTGCTAGACCAATCCGTTGCCACTTCGAGAGCCACTGTACTCAGTAGATGAATTAACAACACAGCGAGTAAATTGATGGAATCTCAGAAACGTCAACACCATGTTGAAGATATGACGAGGAGCGTCAATCGTCTCTGAGAAGGAGGACGAGACTTGCATCCCCATCAATCATGGCCGACGCATGAATGAGCTCACGGAGCGAGGAATGCCAGATTTCAGGCTGTGGTGTGGAATCCACCTCGAACGCCCACCCAAACTGATAATCGAGAGGGCCGCCAACATCAACGACTGGGTGGTGATCAACCACGGGCTAGTCGGCTGCCAGCCGTGAGCAGCAGCGATTCAAAGGAGCAGCTGCTGATGACAATAACAGCATGGGATATTAGGAAGAGCGGAATAAGGCATTTCACTCGGGTGAAGGAGAGAACGTACTAAGATTTCTAAGCGGCTTTGGCGCAGTAGGTAGCGCGTAGGTCTCATAATCCTAAGGTCGCGAGTTCGATCCTCGCAGGCCGCACTTATCAATCGCAGGGAAACTCGTTATTTTAGCCATCAGCGTCAGGTGCTCGTTGACCTACAGTTACCCCTTTCAACAAACCTCCACTGTTAAATAATCATCAGGGGACGAAGGAAGACACCAGTGCTGTCATACCACAGCCTTGGCAAGCCTCTCAACTCTAGCATCCATTCATGCATGGCTCCCGCTCCCAGATGCAAACCGAGTGGCTTGAAGCCAACCACCTACTCTCTTACTAAAGCCTCAGCTGGCAGCAGTAGGAGACCTGATGTAACTGACTTTCGGTGCCAGTGAGATTCCCACTGTGGGAGACCCAAAGCGTCGTAAGTCTATAGTGCACGTTAGCTGATGAGAAAAATCCACAACACCTCCCGTTCGCGGCGTTTGGGTGGCAGACCTAAATTCCGCGAGACCAGAATGAAGTGCTACGACCACCGGGGCCTTCGCTGCTATGGCTCTACCTCAGCGATCAAGTCAGGCTCCCGATCGGCAAAGTCACCGAGGCCAGTTAATAAGCACTCTGCCAATAATCGCCCTTCACGCATAGCAACTTCAACCTGAAGTGGTAAACGAATCACCCCATCATAAAGTACACCCAGCTACGGTTCCAACAAGCCTCTTCTCATGACTCTATTTCCTCGCATGCCCTATTGTACGAAAATACCAATTCCAGTCCTGAGCTCCTACTGATTTCAAACACTGCCGTCCACCAGAAGCAACCAGGCAGTTCACCCGTGAGCTCTTCGTTCCTCTATAGAGCGACCATACCCGGCAGTACCAATCTGTCGAGATCTACATATTGACCGCTGGAACACTGATCAACAAATTGAGGGCACTAGGACCCAGATTGACCAACACAAAGCTAACGATGTATAAGGGGAACAACAGTGGCATGGTCCATGCTAATCTGTATCAAGTTGACGCAAAAGCGTCTCAAAGGTGCTAAGTCCCTCATCGTAAATCCAAAGCGGCGATCCATACCCGACACTCTGAGGAGCCGAGCAGGTTAGATAGATGATTCACGAGCCTGCTACCTCGGAATCCGTAGTGGTCCCGCCACTGGCGTGTGAGGAGGCGTATCGAAGGCCGGCAGCCGCGAGGCTCGAATACCTCGAAACATTCAACCTCGGAGCAGCCCACCGACCACCAGACTTACACTCGTCCTGGCCTAGCCGTCTGCTGGAAAATGCTGTGCCCGTCCCCGCTGAGCTGCCTTGGTCGCTGAGTCGGTCGCCGCTTGGTGGTAGCCTGTCGAGTTGCCTCTTCCTGCAACTCACGAACCTTCTGCTCTTCTTCTAGACGGCGCTGCTCCTGCCGTTTCGCTCGAGCGGCCGAGTCCGAGTAACTACGCGATACAATGAGCGGAGATCTGCGTCGTCAAAGTCTATACTACAGCCTATCAAACGTCTCCTTGAGAGCGTCCGGAGTAAGCTGCCGCGATGCATGAACTGAGCATGTCTTCGTATTGAATTTCTCCCAGCACTCATCCTTGGCTAAGACTTTCGATACTCGGCATGGCGGAGCGAAGCGAGACCGATGCCTAACATTCAAGTTATAAACGATGAACTCCCTCATCTCCAAACTCCTACAGTCTATCGTGGACAGCATCGCCCTCCTGTGTGGAAGGCAAGGCCTTGGCATTCATACCGCCACAAGCATCTCCTATGTCCGCTGCCAAGTCCAACAGTTGCTTCCTGATATCATTCTCTATGTACCTCCCCAACCAACCTCAATCGTACTGCTACCTCTCCTCCCTATCCCTCTGCCGCTCCCTCCGATCTATAGCATCCTTATATAGACTATCCACCCTTGCTTGAACCTCTGCATCCCGTATAGGATCCAGCCCTCGAGGCTTCTCCTCACGGTTGGGATCGATAGGAATATTGAAGCCATGACAGTTGAGCATTCTCGCACACCGTGGCGTCGGCAACCGACCACCCCTGGGGAGCTTCACAATAGTCTTATACTTCTTGCGCCGTTCCTTCTCTTCTGCTGCCTCTACCAGTAGCCTACGGCGTTCTGAGAGTTCCTCCCTTTCCCGGTACCTGCCCCTTCATATGCACTACCAAGTGAACCTTACCGCCTCGTACAGTTTGTCCCATATGCTGCTAGTGGACGACTTAGGCCTACTGCAGTTCCTACAGCAGATCACCTGATTCACATGAGCTGATCGAAGCACTCACCCTCGAGCCATCTCGTCAATCTCTTTCTGCCGAGCTATGAACGCCTCCAGCCTTGCCTGCCGCCGCCCTTTATAGTCCCTACAACAGCACAGATGCACCGACCAGGTCGACGAGACCCCATACTCATAGAGGCTGTTGATACGATCTATATCAGGCCCCCGTCCAAGGCCGCCAGGTTGGGCCATTTCGATAAACTCCTTCGCTTGCGCTTCCCGCTGCTCATCAACAAATCTTCGCCGTGCGGCGTATCTTTGGTCACTATCATGTCCCCAAGTGGACATAAAGATACTACCCGTTATACAGTCGCTCGAATAAGTCATCACTTTGTTTCCTCTCCATCTTACCAGCCTTCCTATTCAAAGGGAGCATAGTCTCTTCCTCGTCCCTGGCTTGCTCTGCTAGTCGCTTCTCACGCTCAACCCTCCGGCGCTCCCGTTGCTCCTGAATAACCGTCGAGCATGCATAAGCTTCGCTCCGCCGAGCTACTCACAGCTGCCTGATCGTAGAGGCGGTCGAAGACCTTCCTGATTGTCATGGATTATCGACACTCCTCACAATCTGCGCGCTCCTAGGCGTGCGAGATTTAGTTTCGACTTAGCTGGAATTATACAAATTATGGCGACAGAAAGTTTGTAATCGTGAATCGCTTCGCTCCGCCATGCCAGATGGTATAACTCAGGACGATCTCGCTGTCCATCATATGATCTGCTATCACTGATAATTACCTCGTCTAGCCCGTCCCTCTCAAAGGCCGATACCACACCCTCGAAGATTCACCCGTTTCTTCGCTTCCCCGCACTGTGGGCAAACGTACATCGCCAGTAGTTGTCAGCTGTACAATAATGTCTTCGTCTAACTCCCCTGTACCACCTATCCCAAAGCCCGACGTTGAGGACAGCCGGCCCGCCCTTGTGGTTCCTAAGGTCAAACTTCCACCGATACTACCCATTTTCGAGCGATGGGCGGTCCTGGTAAGCTAGCAGTGTCAGCGTCGAGCTCTATCCTTTTGCTTATCGTTCAGGTCTTCTCTCTCGCCCTATGCATCTTCACAGCGTGCTCTTTGTTCACATTGAACCTATCCTGGGCTTATCAACCTAACCAGACTGGTATTGCCCTTTACCTCTGACGTCCCTAAGTGTTGTTGTGGTGCAGGTTACGAGGTTCCTCTAGCCAACTGTCCAGCCTTCTCGGAGTCTTTCTCGATCACTCACGAGAGTGCACCCTCGGGTCCTACGTGTAAATTGGAGATCGTTCGGAACGGTTGGAACGACATGGTTATGTACAACTCCAGTATCGATCCTCTTCCTAGCAACACCCCTATTGACCAGTCGCTCAACAACTGCCGCTTGCCTCGAAACGGTGAAGAGGACTACCAGTGCTTTCCCCAGTACGAATGTCATGAGGCATGTCGCCGAGTTGACGACACCGGGACGTATTACCTTGGAGAGTGCCCTGATCCGGCTAACCTACCAGAGATCGGCAACGACGTGATGAAACCTGGTATTCCAAAATGTCAGGTGAAGTTATCGCCGAACTCTCCTTGGGAGACCCTCTTCTGCAAAGAGGTAGTGGGGAGTGCATGCTGCTGAGCCATTGTGCTTAGCCCTTCACTGTGTAGGTCCTAACGTTATCCTACTGCTCAAGCAAGTACGATGTAACGCCTTCAAACATCCTTGGTATGCGAGGTATCATTTTGGCTGGTATGCTCATAGCTGTCATATGGTTCTTCGCTGAGTGGGTGCTATGGTATGTGGACCTCAACTTGCGCAAGGAGAAAGCAGAGGGTATGGCAAGGATGGCCAGAGAGCTCCCTCAGAAGAGAATGTATTTGCGGCAGCAGGTGGAGGCCCATTGGGAGGACGATTTCAACGCTGCTACTGTCAGTCTGGATGTTTCGAGTGATGGTTCGGTATGCGTGGTGCCTCCAGCGATGGACGAAGAGGAGCTTCGGGGCATGTCCGAGGGTGATATGGAATGCTACATGTCGAGAGACCCTGCGATGAGGTTCCAGTCTGGAACATGGAAGAGGCGGATCAGCCAGTGGAAGGCCTGCAAGGCTGCAGCAAAGCGGAGACATTGGATTCGCCAGCTCTTCTACGTGGCCGCTCTCAACATCTTCTTCCTACTTCTACTCGTCGCTACCCTGTATATCGTACTCTACTATTCCCCCCAGAATATCCTCGCTAACAACAGGTCGGTTGGTGATGATCTCTATGGGGAAGTCTCAATTTGGAATGCGCATTCGTGGTTGGATATCCTCATCTTTGTCGATGTTCTCCTCGACACCTTCCTATTCCTCGTCGCTTGCGTCTTTGTCAAGTGGCCACGCGCTCCCGTCTATACTCGTCATGTTCAAGATGTGGTGGCTAAGAAGCAGCAGCATGTGAGCCTCGCGGGTGGTTCAGATCGTTCTCTGAACACCGATGCGAAGCCACAATTCGATCATGCCGGCATCGCATCTCCACTCAGTGATGACTTCCTATCTGATGAGAGTTCGGACAGCACTGAATCTGCATGTGAGGAAGTAGTCATGAAGCAAACGTTGGCGTATGACTGTTGTTTGATGATCGCATGTCATCTCTCTGCTATGACAGAGGAACGTTATGAAACCTTCACAAGTACTTTACGTGCTGCTCTAATGGTCTTCCCTCCTAGTCACATCTTCGTCTGTGATAATGGTGGTACGTTACATCCTGAAGATGAGACTGAGTGGGCAACTCAACAAGTTCATCCTGATATCAATTATGTTTATATTCCAGAAGGCAACAAGACGTTCGCTTTCTACTGGGTTAATAAATACTGGATACCGTACCTAGCCCAAAACGGTCGAGTTCCCGACTTCAAGTATTCCGTTATGATCGATGATGATGTGCCACTTCCGGCGGATCTGTATATTCCACATGAACAACTTCGTGCAAATCCGAACATCAAAGCTGTTCACTTCCCCATCACAGCAACTACTCCTGATGGGAAACCTGACATGCTTGTGAAGATGCAGGATGTTGAGTACAAGATGGCTGCAGTGCATAAGCTATTCCAGTCGAAGATGGCTCGGTCGCTATCATGCCATGGTGCTGTGTCACTGTGGGATCGCGAGGCGCTCGATGAGGTCCTTTTTGAGCATGATACTGTGTTCAACGGTGAGGATATGTACATGGGTTTGACTCTCTTGAGGAAGCGTGATGAGTCTACGATCATTTCTTGTGCACAAACGATCGTCCCCACGTATGCTCCTGATACCTGGCCAGTGCTCTTCCGGCAGAGGGTCAAGTCGTGGGATCTAACATCGCACAAGAAGACGTTCACGTATCTCTGGGAGGTCATCAATCCCCGATCGTTCTGCCATGGGGCGTCTTTGGTTCTGAAGCCGTACTTCCTTCAAGAGCTTCTCTGTATTCTCTTGGATTGGTTGCGCGCTTTCTTGCTCTGTGGTTTACTTTTCCGTGACTGGCTCGGCCTCATTCTAATGACTCTTGTTTTTACTGCACTCCTCTACGTTCAAGTGCTCATCTTTGAGGTTTTCGTTCTCCGTGATCGACATGACCTCAGATCCGGCGTTATTGATTTCATTGTGTTCCCCTGGTACCGTCTCCAGTCGCTATTATTCAGAATATGCGCTTTATGCCAGAATCTATTGGTTTACAGCCATCAAAGGAAGAATGTTAAAATCGGTGTTCGCGAACAGAAGATCCATGATATTCCACCGACCCCACCACATCCTGATGTCGATTGGTTCACCGTGTGGGAAAACGACGAGCAGGATTCTCGTACGTAACGATAGAATCAATGAACATCTGGTTCATTACGAAGCGTCATCGGCGCTGTGTTAGTAGCCAGTTGCTGGCCCCAGGATGTTCTTTATACAATAGTTCCTTGTCAGTTTTCGTACTTTATCCGGTGACAGGTAAGCAACATTGTGCTTCAGTTGTTAAGGTGGTTATAGTTCCTTATGCTTTGTATGAGTTTGCCGTTTCTACTCGTGATGAAACACCAATCTCAGTGGCCTCCACGTGTTGTGTTATGCTAGTCGAAGAAAACCTTTAAGAGTATATTCGCTTGTTAGAATGATGTAGGCCCCGTTCGTGGGTTAGTGCCTCGTAATCCAATCTCAATATTGAAGTCTCGCACTATTAAAGTCATCTTCATTCTCTTGGAGAGTAAC